GCTATAAACCCTGTGGCACAGCATAAGATTTTATCTTTAATGGCCTTTTCTATAGAGTTCATTACTTTTACTTTTATACTTTTATTTGAGTAAAAAGCTCGAGTTGATACTTATACTTCCAAAAAAGTATTTTTAAACCCTAGTATCTATACTTCTACTTAAGTAATGAATGTGAATACTTTTGACACCTCTGCCAATTATCCAATTCATACAGAGGGTCTGGAATCTCGACTATTGAGAAGTGATTTCTTGCTGGAGGTGTGGACTCTGTTGAAGTTTTGAATTGAATTGAATTGAATTGAACTGAATTGAATTGAATTGAATTTTTTTTTTTTTGCCAAATCTCCATTTAGAAATAGTCTAAAGGGGAAATGTATTACAGTTCAGGGAATAGGTTTATGGAACTGTCTGGATACTATAAAAACCTCCAAAACAATCTATATTTTCAAAAAGGTGATTAAGTCAAAGTTATTGGGAAAATACATTGCATTTAAATTATAATGTGTCCATGCAAATAGTTGGATCTGGACAAAAAAATATTTACCTGCAGTGTGAACGTAGCTTAATGCATCTTGTTTGGTCAGCATCAATGCCAAATCTTGTGGTTTCAAAATTGATCTTAATGCTCGTTTTGTTTTGCCAATTATCCATCCATTCAGGAATACACAATGGATGTGTTCTTTCGGCAGACGTGGGTGGATTGCAGGCTGATGTATGAGGGTCCAATTGAGATTCTGAGACTGAACAACTTGATGGTGACCAAAGTCTGGACACCAGACACTTTTTTCAGGAATGGCAAGAGGTCAGTCGCACACAACATGACTGCCCCCAATAAGCTCTTCCGGATCATGAAAAATGGCACCATCCTTTACACTATGAGGTATGAGTTAAATGTATACTACTGTATGTCACGGTCAAATCTTCAGCCCAACGTCAGTCAACAAACTCCACTTTCATAACTTAGTTTACAAAGAATTAAATACATTTCACACAACTTATATTTCAGTATTTTTGCTTATTTAGGATTTGAAAAGCAACAGATTTTGTTTGTTTTACAACATTAAAAGAGATTTAGAAAGAAGTGAAACCCAGACTCTCAGTGTAAACCGTAGAGATCTGTTTGGAGGCATACCAGATGCTACACATTTAAAGTTATACAAGCAGTCCTAAAACATTCCTTTTGTGCAGAAGGCTGTATTTTTAATAAATCATCTAATGGCCTGTCATAGAATACTACTTTTCTTTTTTATGGAATGCTGTGAAGCAAACTCCAGCTTAGTAGGTTATGAATCAAATATTGGAAGTTTGTAGTTTCTGTCTTTATTAGCTTGAAGGTGCTGAAGTGTAGAGTGTTTTATAAATTAGTTTATTTCTTTGTTCTGTATCAGGTTGACCATCAGTGCAGAGTGTCCCATGAAGCTAGTGGATTTCCCCATGGATGGACATGCATGTCCTCTAAAGTTTGGAAGCTGTAAGTCCACGACTGAGCCAGATCATCTCAAAACCTTATTTGTTCACATGCAGAAATATCAATAGATCATCACAAAATGTGAAGAAATAAATGAACTAACAACTTAACAACATTTGGTAAAAATGGTAAATGGCCTGAAATTGTGTAGCACTCAGTCAAGTCCCTTCGGACTCCAAAGTGCTTCACACAAAAGTCATTCACTCATTAATACAAACTGATGGTGGTAAGCTACAATGTAGCCACAGCTGCCTTGGGGCACACTGACCGAAGTGGGGCTGGCATGCACTGATGCCACCAGGCTATGGAGTTAAACCAGTGGCAGCTTACAATGATATTGAAATAGAGATTTGACATTGAAAAATTAAACATTGAAAAAAGAAACACTGAAAAAAGAAACATTGAAAAATAAAACATTGACAAATAAAAAGGGTCAGTGTATCTTTTGGTCAATGTATTTTCATTTTCAAAATGGATATTAAAAAACAAGAAACTATTGGATATTTGATTTTTGTTTTAAAATACTGAAATTAAAATTAAAATACAAAGCATCTCTCAATGTCAAAAAGGGATAAACAATTTTTTTAAAATGATTTGAGTTTCATTATCTGTTTCAGATAACAAAAGAAAAAATTACTTTAAGAAAAGGCTCGTATATTCATAATGCATGACNTTAAGAAAAGGCTCGTATATTCATAATGCATGACAGGTCGTGCCAACTTACTGTATCCTGATTTCCTGTGTGGCTCCTCCCCTAGTTTACCCACTAGGACACTGATGGATCTTGGAGAGGAGACTATGTCTCCCTCTTGGTTTGGAGGCGATGGACCGGACTTACAGCCACCTGGGGGTGACCTGTGTGGCTGAGCCTGGCGTGTCTCCTCCGGGAGTCATCAGGCAGGAGCCCTTAGCTCGGTCTCCAGCTACCCTCCTTCCAGTGGTCACTCCCTTCATGAACCCCGGCCTCTGGGTCGGCGTAGTAGCTCAGGACGCCTCCAGCTGCCGGTCACCACTGTTTACTGGTAGCCGCTCCCTCGTAGGATGTGCACTTCTTATTGTGACCGAGATGACATTTTTTGACCTGGACAATTGGTCTCAAGGGAACTGTTAAGGGGAGTTATCCTATCTCTCCAGGTTAATAACCATTAAAAAGGAACTTATTAGTGTTCTATGACCTCATATTATTACCTTTTGGCTTCAAAGTAACCATACTCATTATGTTAATACCTTGTTGCTCTAAGTAACAAAACTCTCATGTAATCAGAGAAAAACTTTAAAGGACAACTTTAAAAATCAATGTCCTTCCTTCATCTTAAGACACACTTTGACTCTTTTCTTCCTAAATCACCACCTTACATTTAAAAACACATTAATTATCACAGTACATTAGTTAAATCACACATTGCAATTAAGCATATAATAATCATTCAGGTTATATATATACTGTATTTGCCAGCATTAAAATTGATTAACTTTAATAATCACTTCTGTTCCCTCTGTTTCTTGACCTTCTTCTCCTCTTGGCCTCCACTTCGATCCTTTCTGTGGCTCCTCTTCCTGTCGCACTCTCTTCTCTGCTGAGGGTCAAGAGGGGGCTCTGCGGGTCTGATTCCAATCCTGGCGGTGATTGGTGTGGTCGGGTCTCTTGACAATCCCTATACAACAAACTGTTTCAGCACCAGAAGGGGTGCCTGCAATATCAAAGCTATTCAATGAACATCCCATTGCAAGTAAAAAACAATGATGTTTGTGGTGGAAGGATTTATCAAGAATGCAGAAACACGTTGGAATAAATGCACAGAAAGTCTGCGTGTATGGCCGTCAAATGATTTAATTTGAGCAACAACAGAGCAGAAGTCGATCAGAGAAATCTGTCAATTGTGGCTGGCTCGTCAGTGCAGAACAGCCGATAATATAACATCCTGTGACATGCGTACAACCAATCACCGTTCGCCAACTGTGAACCATCTAACCAATGACACAGCTGTCAGCCCCGGAAGTACCTTATCAAAATAAAAGAGGTCATGCATTTCTGGAGACTTGAAGTCTAGGGCAACAGATTAAAACAGCCGAAACTAGTTACTGTATCACATGAGATATGAGTACTGGACAGCGTCAAGGTAAAACAGATATACATAATTATTCCATAACAATGTTGACTTCCGTATCAATATATTTGGTATCAGATCAATATCAAAGTCGTAGTATCGCCCACCCCTCGCTGAGAGGAAAACTCCAGGGATGCAAACTGACAGAAAAAAGCACAGATTTTGTCAAAACTCAGGAGGGAAAAAACTTTCTGCTCACAGAACAACAATCATACAACACACTAATATAATGAATGTTGTCATATTTTGCTTTTAATTGAGAGAAATGGAGGTGAAGTGGAGGCAATAGCCGACGAGTATTCAGTAAAATAGATTTATTTGGTCAAAAGCCACATGAATTAGCTCTGCAAAACCTTTGGTCACAGAGCAACAATCATCATACAACTCATTTATAGACATATTTCTCTGTGTTTCAGCCTTTTATTTACAGAAATTAGTGTTTCATTTTGCAGAGCTGCCAGGCAAGCGCCCCCTCTGGTGGGGGAATAAATAGTCGCAGAATACAAACAAACGAGCCTTTCTTCGTTTCTTTCTTAAATTAATTTTCTTTTTTGCTATCCAAAACAGAAAATGAAACTCAAATCATTTTTAAAATTTCGTTTCTCCTTTTTTGACACTAAGATTTGAAAAATGCATTGTATCTTAATTTTAATTCCAGTATTTTAAAACAAGAATTGAATAACCACTTGTTTCTTGTTTTTTAATGCTCGTTTCGAAAATGAAAATCCAATGACCAAAAGATACACTGACCAAAACGGTCAGTCTTGTGGTGTTGTCTTGTGTTTTCTTGGTTCATATTTCACACGTCTTCTCTAATCTCTCTTTCAATCTTCCTCATTACATGTCTCTTTTTTCTCTTTATTTTTCTTCTTCACTTTTATTTAAAAATGTCACTGATGATGAAGAAACCAATATTTAGTTCTATTTTCTACTGAAGTGGCTTAAAAAACAAATATTGCAAATATTTGTATAAATTTACGCAAAAATGTCTAAATTCGCACAAAATATAAAGATAATACTTTTTAAGGCCCAATTTAGACAGTTTATCTGCTAAGCAAAGTTGATTTGGGGTTTAGTTACTTTTTAAAGTTGAGGTCTACCTCAGGTTCAATTTGGTAAACTTCAGGCTTAAAATAGCAGGCTGCAAAACAAGACACAGCTCATCTCCAGCCTAATCATTGGGTCATTGAGACTGTCAGCCATCAGCGTTCTAACGTCATTCCTATCAGTTGTTTGTAATCAATGCTTCTCCCAAGTGTTGCCCATCTTCTCCTTCCCTCAGTTTGTATTTAGCCAGTTTTTTGCCACCACTTCCCCACTGGATCATTGTATGATGTACGTAAGTTTGTTGCTACCACATTTGCTTTGTTTTTATTTATTTAACAAAGCAGTTTTATTTTAGAGTTCTTGTGTCCACCTGCTCCTAGGTTCAACCCCCACAGACCCTGACAGACGTATGATTGGCTAAAAGCTCTAAAGTAAACATACATTTCTAAAGGCTAACTACTATTATCAATAGAGAATCAATGACAGTGGTGACAGTGATTCTGTGTTAAATGAGTAGTGAAGAGCCAAACACAAAGTGACTGAACACTGTTACTAAGCAATAAAACATCTTTATTGTGAACACTGAAGCCGTAACTTAGCATTTGTGTTTATAGCAGGCCTCGTGGTCAGCAGAATTTATCATGATTCAGAAAGCTCTTGTAAAGAGGGAGCCTAGTCTTATCAGACAAGAGCTGAGATTTTAAAGATTAAAGCAAGAAAAGGATAAAAGAATAGTCTTTCTGTTTTTTACACCCACCCCATCTGCTGTCAGTTATCCAGTGTGATGACATTGCAGAGGAGAAATTTACATTTCTCGGCTATTGTCATCCTTCTCTTCCTCCCCATCCTGCTTATCCTGCTCTACTGCTGCCAGCATTCGGTCAGGATGAAGTGACCGTGACTCTGCAGTAGCCTGAAGTCAAGGAAAGGTCAGAATTCCTTCCTTTACCTCAGGACAGTGCAGACCTACAGTATGTAGCGTTTTTTCACCGTCTAGTCTGTGAGCTACTTTTCTTGCTCTCTGCCTTTCCTTCAGTTTCTCTCTCTCTCTCTCTCTCTCTCTCTCTCTCTCTCTCTCTCTTGTCTTTTCTACTTCTCCATCTGGACCTGTGTGTGCAGGCACTGCATTCCACTCCATGACACACCAGAGTCATTTAATTTAGCAGAACAGTTGGTATCCAGTCATTTTGGGGTCCCACAGGGAGAGGCAACAGCCATTAAGTTGTGCATGTACCTAATAGCTGGTATGCATACAGCAAAACATGCTGAGAAGGCAACATGTTAGAATAGGAGATCTCTTTCATTTTGATGGATCCTTAACCCACACACAGTAAAACATGACTGCAGAATTAGTTTAACCAAAAGAAAAACATGTAAACATTATTTTAGGAATATTTTGTTATTTATAAAAAAAAAGAACAAACAGAAAAATTACTATTGCAAAGTAATGTCAAAGTAATGAGCAGATAGAAAGC